TTTCATTGTTAGTTGCTAAAACGTTTTTATTGGCAACTAATTGTTTGTATATGTGCATCTCAAAAATCATGATGAATGAGCATGCGCTGAGACGGGTCAACCCGGTTGCTCATACGCATGCATGTCGTGAATCTTTGTCAAAAAGGCCTTGCTTTGGTAGAGGTAAAAGGTTTTCGTGATTAAATAGCTGACAGGGACTTTCGTATAAGGCTAGAAGTTATAATAAATACATAAGATTAATCTGTAGAATTTCTTTTCAATTGTTTTTTAACAAAGGAATGGAACTTAGAATTTATTATGTACACTTTAGGTTATTTTCAGTCTAATCTCAAGAAAGTAATCAGTGATGTAAAGAACAATTCATGTAACTGTAAATATTCATGACACCTAATCCTGATATTTATTCCTTAGCAGTGGGATATCAATTTAAGGATTTATTTTTGGCAATTTGGTAATGAAGGGTTGAACAGTTGGTCACATACACCTGTGTATTGTTAAATCGACTTAACAATAATAACTTAATAAGTTTGATATCACAACATTTTTTGAGAAAAAAAAACGTCTGATTTAATAGCTAAATCTGTTAGTTTTTCCTTTGAGCAGATGTATATATTTTATCCTTTTGATAACAGGTTTAAGAACGGTGCATGGAATAGAGCTATAGTCCAGGTAACTAATGTATTGAGTAATTTCATGGATCAAGCATAGAGTACTCTTTCAAAGGATCCTTGAACTCATGCATAATTCAGCATTTGTTTTCACCCGTAGTTCTACCCACAATCAAATTTGAAGTGAAAATATATCTATAAACAATGCAATGTTCAAATGGGTCTAGATAACTCTTAAGTTTCAAATAAGTGTCGAAAGGTTATAACAACTTCTATTTAGTGTTATTCCCAATTTATTGTTTCTGTCACATTGTCCTGATTTATGATTGCTCACACGTATCTAAATATACAGTACGGAACTCAAACTCTGTTTTACGAAAATATTTATTTGTTTTTGTTATGCGGGTTACTCTAGTTACGCCAATATAATTTTTCAAACAAGTAAACTTCCAAATTTTGAATTAATCCAGTGGCGTAGCAAGGGTTCTTAGCACCCGGGGGCAAAGACAATTTTGGCGCCCCCACCCATGAAATGTTTTGATTATTTGTTTTATGAGTCATCACCCACTTAATGACAATAACATAAAGAATTAATTACCGCCTTACAGAGGCCTAAAATAAAGTCACAAATAACACCTCACGATATCACAATTGTAAACCTGAAACTAATGAAGTACAGC